CCGGCGTCTTTGCCCGGGGCTGAATTTCCCCCCTATATTGGGCACAGTGATCGTGAGCCAGGCAGCGGTAACAGAGCGGTGCCCAGCCCCGAGCCTGGGCCACGGGGTGACTATTAATGTGTGGAGGAGTACGGCCAAGTTCCCGTAGTAACAGTTTGATGTACGTCTGCTGTCATGATCCTGGCGTCCCCCCCACAGCTCGGCCGAGGCCCCTCAGTCCTGCCCCCAGCCTCCTGCTATCCCACAGAGCCGTGTTTGCTGAGCAGACACAGACATTCGGGGCACTTTGTACTGTGACTCTGCTGTGGGCAAATGGCCAAAGGGGACGTTGACTTTCTATAGACTCATAGGCTTTTAGGTCAGAAGGGACCAGCATGGTCATCTAGTCCAGTAGTCCCCAACGCGGTGCCCACCATGGCACCCGCCGGGGCATCTATGTCTGCCCACCTACTGGCTGCCGGACAAGCAGCCGCCGAAATGCGGCCGAGAAGCAGCGTCATCAAGAGGCATCGCTGCCGAAATGCCTTTGATTTTCGGCAGTATTTCGGCGGCGAGCCTTCTTGGTATTGCCACTTCTCGGCGGCATTTCGGCGGCTGCTTGTCCAGCGGCCACAGTCCACGGCGGCTAGCCGTCCAGCGCCCGCCACACGGCAAAGGTTGGGGACCACTGATCTAGTCTGACCATCTGCATATCGCAGGCCACAGAACCTCACCCACCCACTCCTGGAACAAACCCCTAACCCCTGGCTGAGTTACTGACGTCCTCACATCACATGTTACAGAGAATCCACCGTTTACACTAGTTACATCTACAAGTGACCTGTGCCCCATGCTGCAGAAAAAGGTGAAAAATCCTCAGGGTCTCTGCCAATCTGACCCGGGGAAAAATCCTTCCCGGCTCCAAATGTGGCCCTCAGTTAGACCCTGAGTATGTGGGCAAGACCCACCAGCCAGACACCCAGGGAAGAAATCTCTGTAGTAACTCAGAGCCCTCCCCGGCTAGCGTCCCATCACCGGGCATTGAACATATTTGCTGTTAGCAGTGGCAGATCGGCTACATGTCATTGCAGGCAGTCCCATCATACCATCCCCTCCATAAACTTATCCAGCTCAGTCTTGAAGCCAGTTAGGTTTTTATTCCCACCGCTCCCCTTGGAAGGCTGTTCCAGAACTTCACTGCTCTGATGGTTAGAAACCTTCACCTAATTTCAACGCTAAACTTGTTGATAGAATCATAGAATCTCAGGGCTGGAAGAGACCTCAGGAGGTATCTAGTCCAACCCCTGCTCAAAGCAGGGCCAATCCCCAACTAAATCATCCCAGCCAGGGCTTTGTCAATCCTGACCTTAAAAACCTCTAAGGATGGAGATTCCACCACCTCCGTAGGGAACCCATTCCAGTGCTTCACCACCCTCCTAGTGAAATAGTGTTTCCTAATATCCAACCTAGACCTCCCCCACTGCAAGTTGAGACCATTGCTTCTTGTTCTGTCACCTGCCACCACTGAGAACAGTCTAGATCCATCCTCTTTGGAACCTCCCTTCCGGTAGTTGAAAGCAGCCATCAAATCCCTCCTCCCTCTTCTCTTCTGCAGACTAAATAACCCCAGTTCCCTCATCCTCTCCTCATAAGTCATGTGCTCCAACCCCCTAATCATTTTTCTTGCCCTCCACTGAACTCTCTCCAATTTGTTCACATCCCTTCTGTAGTGTGGGCCCCAAAACTGGACACAGTACTCCAGACGTGGCCTCACCAGTGCCAAATAGAGGGGAATAATCACTTGATGGCCAGTTTATATTGTGACAAAGCTCTGTCCTTGTCTCAGTGGGTCCTGCGTTTCCTGACGGATTTCGCTAGCCTCTGAGTCTCACTGGGACCCTCCCCTTAACCCTTCTCTCTCTCTAGAGACAAGGGTCAAAGTCTACTGAGCCATTTTCATCCTAAGCCATCATGTGAGGGAGGTGAGGAGAAGCTATCCTCCCTCACACAGTCTCTGTTGTCTCCCAGTCTCAGTGATTAATCAGGGGGGGGCAAAGGAGGGGAGCCCAGGCCCACCCTCTCCTCCAGGCTCCAGCCCAGGGACCCTAATAGTAGCAGCTCTAGTAGCTGACCTTTAGGAACAGGACACGTACAATTCCCCGGGCTACTTCCCCACAGCAGCCCCCACCTCCCCCTTACCTCAGGGCCTCCTTTCTTCTGCCTGTTTTGGTTTGTACTACGCAGTTACTCCAACAGCACGGCTTCCTCCTACAGCTCCTGACACCCACACCCACCTGAGTAACTGGGAGGCTTTTAACTAGTTTTGGCCAGCCCCTGATTGGCTTCAAGTGTCCCAATCAACCTAGCATCCTCCCTGCCTTCTGGAAAGCTCTTAATTGGCCCCAGGTGTCTTAATTGACCTGGAGCAGCTGCCATTTACTTATCCTGGTACTAGGGATTTGTTTAACCTGTGGCTAATATATCTATCTCCCAGTACTTTTCTATAGCCATCTGGCCTTGCCCTGTCACAATATCCATTTGTTCTTGTGTCAACATTAGTACTTAACTAACTCCTCTTTCTCCCTGTATTTATCTGTCTAATGTATTTACAGAGAGCAATCAGATCTCCCCTCAGCCTTCTTTTGGTTAGGCTAAACAAGCCAAGTTCTTGGAGTCTCCTCTCCTAAGGTAGGTTTGCCATTCCTCAGATCATAGAATATCAGGGTTGGAAGGGACCTCAGGAGGTATCTAGTCCAACCCCCTGCTTAAAGTGGGACCAACCCCCAAACAGATTTTTGCCCTAGATCCCTAAATGACCCCCTCAAGGATTGAACTCACAACGCTGGGTTTAGCAGGCTAATGCTCAAACCACTGAGCTATCCCTCCTCCCCCCAGCCTAGTAGCCCTTTTCTGCACCTGTTCCAGTTTGAATTCATCCTTCTTAAATGTGGGAGACCAGAGCTGCACACAGTGTTTCAGGTGAGGTCTCACCAGTGCCTTGTATAAGACACTAACACTTCCCTGTCTCTACTGGAAACACCTCGCCTGATACATCCTAGAACTGCATTAGCCTTTTTCATGGTTGCCTCACATTGGTGGTTCATAGTCGTCCTGTAATCAGCCAATACACCCAGGTCTTTCTCCTTCTCTGTCAATTCCAACTGATAAGCTTATAGCAAAAATTCTTGTTAGTCCCTAAGTGCCTGACCTTGCACTTTGCACTATTAAATTTCATCCTATTGCTATTACTCCAGTTTTTTAGTTCATTCAGACCTTCTTACATGATATTCTGGTCCTCCTCCATATTGGCAATACCTCCCAACTTTGTGTCATCTGCAAATTTTATTAGCAAACTCCCACTTTTTGTGCCAAGATCATTAATAAAGATATGAAATATGATTGGTCCTAAGACCGATCTCTGAAGAACTCCAGTTGTTGTCTCCCTCCAGCCTGACAGATCACCTATCAGTATGACCCGTGGTAGTCTCCCCTGTATCCACCTTTCAATTCTCAAATTAATCCCCATCTTCTCCAATGTAACTAATAATTTCCAGTGTGGAACTGTATCAAATGCCTTATGGAAATCCAGGTAGATTAGATCTACTGCATTTCCTTTGTCTAAAAAATCAATTATCTTCTCAAAGAAAGAGATCAGGTTGGTCTGGCATGATCTATCTTTTGTAAAAACATGTTATATTTACCATTTACTTCTATGTCCTTAACTACTTTCTCTTTCAAAATTTGTTCCAAGACCTTGCATACTATTGAGGTCAAACTAACAGGCCTG